TGTATAAGTAAACTACTGAAAATGTTAGCTTAGGCCAACTTACTGAGTTCTTCTTAACACTGGATATGTTTTTAAGCTGTAGTGACAGTTCCATCTATAGGAAACGTGCCTGATAAGGGCTTCCTTGAAAATCTAGACATGCGCTGTTATTGAAATTGTCCTGCTGGGTTTGATTTTCACTTTGGAAGCAAGTGTGTTGCCTGGCTGAGCCCATATTCAAAGGCTGGGTGGACTGATCCCCCGCAAGACACTTGAAGGTTAAGTAACTGCGGATCTCCGCTAATCTGGCTAAGCTGCTGATGTTAAATGTCGGCTGGCATCCCGGGGCACCAGATTCTACATGCTCCTGATTTACCACTTACCTTTTGTTCAGCCAGCCACTCTGGAGCTATGTGGCCCTTTGCATGCCTGTGCCTTGTGCTTGGTTTTCTGGGACGAGTGAGCTGCACCTGTCCCTCTCAGTGCACCTGTGATCATCAGGGCAGAAATGACGGCTCAGGATCAAGGTATGTCCCTCTCTTTGCTACTGAGTATTCTGATTGTCCTGGTAAAAAGGACCCAAACCAACCAGCCTGTTCTTATGAAAGCAAATCATTTATTAAAATCAGGGGAAGTTTAAATTCCATGAGATTTGGTTCAGTTTTTATTAGCTGTTTGCCCACTGCCCTATTATTTTTATTATAACCAACAGTTTGCCTCCCAGAAGCCTCAAAAGGGTCTCGGAAATTCCAAAAGCACTTTCTGTCTTGCAAAAAAATACTTATTACACTCATATGCACAAACCACCCCTTGGAGATCAATGCTCAGTGTGGGGGTAGGATGGGGCTGGGAGGCGGGCTTGTTACAGAAAGTCCAAGAGAGCGAGGCTGGGTAGGAACTGCAAGCTTATCCATGTTATCTGCTGTCTGAGTTTCCCAGTCCATGTGGGGATATCTTACACTAACAACTTGGTAGGAGGAAGGACAAGAGTGAAGTTGGTAAGTTAATAATTAGTTTTTTTATCTGAATGGAATTCACAAAAGTAAAGATGTTTGGAGAATACCACCTGTTGCAGATATTATAGGAACTCACAGAAGCTATTAAGCCTTTGCATTGCTTTAACCTAGTAAGAATTATAATTTGTTTATGAGAAATATGAATCCTTTACCAGTAGGCCAATAGAAACAGACTCTTGTTAGCCAGGCACAGGAGACTCTGGTTTTTAAGAGTATTCACAAAAAAAAAAAAAAAAAAAAAAAAAGAATTTTTTCTTGGGACTTTGATAGTTTGATAGTTGAAATAAACAATGAGTTTCTGAAACAAAGTTTAACAGAAGAATAAAAACAACTTTAATCGAATAATAATTATAGCTCAGTGATACAGCACTTGCCTGGCATGTCTAAGGACAAGAGTCTGATACCCAGCACAGCAATGCTTATGATGATGATGGTGACCGTGATGATGATGGTGATGATGATAATGTTGGTACCATAAAGTTTATTTGTGAATAATTTTACTTAGCCCACCCTTGATACCCTTTGAGACGTTCCCTGAGAAGTAAAAGATGACCATCGTCTTCCTATGATAAGGACTGGAAACTGCTATGATCTTGTGCAAAGCAACTCCAAAATTTGTGAAATAGAGGTGAACCTAAAAAGTACCCCGGATACCATTCATGGTTCCCTGTGGTTTTCTAAAGTAACCAAAAGGAGGAGCCGCTGCCAAGGCCTCGAGGCTCTACACTGCTTTCCCCTGTTCCCATTATGAGCTAGTTTTTTTAATTCACAGGCTTGCTGAGATGTTTCCCTGATGGTCATTTTAATGCCGTGTATCCCAATTTTGAACGCCATTTTCTTTTCAAAAGTGCTTATTCACTGTGAGCAATTCAGATGGGTGTGGAGGGTAAGTAGTTCTTCAGACTGGACCAAATCTAAGATTTGAGATTCTTCCCACACTTAGGACAGTATTTTTTTTTTATTCATGCTAACAAACAAGTTCACAGCATGGTTTGTTTGAGGACTCTTCAGTTAGTCACTGCCATCAGGAGCACATTTTGTTTCTTGTCCATTCCTTAGGCAGAAAGTGATGCACAGACATTTGATTCTACCCCCCTATAAATGGTTCTCTCATAAAAGGATCAATTATGATATGTTTTAAAAGACATATATCCCTGGCTAGCTTGGAAGTCTCTATACCACTTAGGACAGTATTTTTTTTTTATTCATGCTAACAAACAAGTTCACAGCATGGTTTGTTTGAGGACTCTTCAGTTAGTCACTGCCAACAGGAACACAGAGTGTTTCTTGTCCATTCCTTAGGC